CACTTTTTTTTCGAGGTTTGCAGGGGGTTTTTTCCGTTGCCGCCTCACATTCTGGCAGACACCCAACTGTTAAAAAATCACCATATACTTTGAAAAGCAATTGAGGGTTTCATTGTTGACTAAAAGAGCAAAAACCTCAGTCATGAAGGTGCATGAATCAATGGGTTATCTCAGTCCCAAGGTTGCATATCAAGATCAGAAGATATCTAGATCAGCAGAAGATCAGATGAGGTTTTCAAACGTTTCTCTTTTCCACTTTCCATTACCCTTGGGACGCAACCTTATCAAAAGATTGTACAGAAGGCGCTAACGCAAGTTCTGAATCTTAATTGTGTGAGGAATATGGGCTTGTAAGATTTGGAGAGCCCAGCTGAGTGTTTAATGCGTGAGCTAGGTCCCTCATCCAATCGCCCGCAATAACCACCGGGTGTAGACCAAGGACTTGGATTCTTGTAAAGTTCTACTGAGAAAAAACAGATCAATTGCAACGGCTTTTGTTATAGTGCAGAAAGAAACAGCAGCTGCAACAATTTTCTGGAAGGGAACACAACAGAACTCAACTACTGCGTGACAAAGGGAAAAAGAAGATGTTGCAAAGTGCTTACCAGTCCTCAGCAACCGCATTCAACGAATTTGTGATAGTCCGGCAAGCAATACGAAGAGCAGCACTTAGCAAGTGCATTGGGAGCATATGGATGTTTTCCTGAACCAGATAGCAGATGTACAAAAATCTCCAAGTCAGCTGGCCCCTTAAGGTGCCAAACGGTAAACTCATTAAGCTGCCAAATTGTTTTGAACTCACTCCAATGCCCATGTGCAAGCCATACAGTTGGGTAAAGAGGGCCTGAAGAATCCTACAAGGGTGCATATCCAAACAGGTTGCTTACTGAGCGCTTACACAACAACAAACGAACAGGAAAACGGTGATCAACCCAGAGCATGTGCAAGAAGAGGAAGCTTGAAGGCTGCTCAATTAGAGCTCATGACAACCTTCCATATTATGCTGCTATATTGAATCCACTCTTCTTTCAAGGGATCATTAACAATATGAATTTGTGCATAGAGTAACTTGAAACTACTCTCAACTGTGCTGATCTTTTATCAGAGAAGACGGTTTCAAACACCATACAAGCCCCAAAGCTCACGTGGAGAGGAACTGCATGGCAGCTTAACATACCCTCAACGCAACAGTTGCTTCGAGAGCAATCGTCCTATCCGACCACCAGCAGAGCTCCCTCATCAAATTCAGCACCTCTGCTTGTGTTAATCCATGCTTAAGAATGGTCCCAGGGACCAGAGCCTCTTTCCCATCCTCTCGCTGACGTTTCTCCCCTTCTTTCTCCCTTTCATAGAACATCCACTTCCCAGGTCCATCAGTTGCCATTACCAATAGCATCGGAACACAACGAAGGGCCTCCCCTATCAGAAATGGCTGGTCCTTCTCCTTGAGGCATGCTGTGACCTGCAGATTGACAACACTGTCAGCCCAACTCGCAAAAAAGACCAAATAGCAACCACTTGTTTCACATTGAAAATCACACACAAACGTAGTCAATTCAACTCAATTGCCTATAAGGACTACAAGAAGGGCCAGTGAGGCTTTGCCCACATGATATAGGAGGTCAGTGCCTGATAGTGTCACTCACACACCGAAACAGTGCATCAGTTTTTCAAGAAATGACATGCAAATGCAAACCCATACATAGCTATACATCACTAAAGAAAAAGGAATCACGGAATGCTCACTTTCATCTGATCATGCATGTAGAATAAAGTCAGAGAGAGAGACAGACAGACCGACACAGAGAGGCGAGACACAGAGAGAGAAAGAGCTGTCTCTTATACACATCTAGATGTGTATAAGAGACAGGACAGACAGAGTGTGAATTACAAATTTGATTTACGGTAACCAAACAGCTTAATCACACACACACACACAGAGAGAGAGAGAGAGAGAGAGAGAGAGAGAGAGAGAGAGAGAGAGAGAGAAGACAGTTACAAAATTGATTTACAGCAACCAAAGAACTTAATCTTTCTCTCTCACACACACACATGCGAGGCCACTGCCTCTATGAGCCCCATAAGGCCCCATTTTGCAGCCCGTCGGCCGCCCTACGTGAAGGCAGGCTCGACGAGGCCCTGAGGGCCCTATTCTGGCCACCACGCAACTCAGGGAAATTCAGGCAGTTGCGCAGCGCCAGTTGGTTGAGTGAACCCAGGCCCTGGGCCGCCTGTGTGAATGTATATGAAGCAGGCCCTGGGCTGGATACGCATACTGGGCCAAACACAGGCCAAAGGCAGTTGGGCACATGCAACCACCTCAGGCCGAAGGCCTGTTTTCTTCGTGCTGGGCCTCAGGCTACCGGGGCCTACTGGAAGCTTCCTGGGACTGGACGCAGGCAGGGCACTTCGATATAGCTTCTGGCTGCTTCCTACCTAGAGGGTAGTGCAACAAGATGGTTGAGTGGTATAGTGCAGCTCCAGGGTATGGTCATGACTTCCGCACTTGGGCGGTCACCCAGAAATTGCAGGACTTCCTGAAGATGGTGGAGGAAAGGTGGCACGATCCTCAGGAGGCCCAAAGGGCCACTGATGCGATCCTGACACTGCACACACGGCAGTTTAAGTCAGTAAGGGAACCACCGACGTTGTTGAGCGTCTGATCTGTGTCCCTGGGGTGCGCTATGGCCCCCAGGTTCTGCTTACCTCGTACTTGAGATGCTTTCCTCAGCCTCTCAGGAACCAGTTGGCAAGTCAGGCCAACATCAATATGCACAACTTTCCTTCATTTAGCAAGATGGCCCTAGACCTTGAGGCGAAGACAGGGCATGGACAGGCACCCACTACACGGAAGTTCACTCTTTTATGGGATTGGTCGGGTACTACCAACACTTCATCGGCGGATACGCACGGATTGCCGCACCCTTGTCAAGATTGCGGTCTCCAAAGTTGCCCTTCCATTTCATCGACGAAGATCGCAGTTCATTCCATAAATTGAATGACGACGTTGCTTTTCGCTCTTGTCTTGAGTATCTATGATCCCACCTTGCCTACGAGAGTGACTACGGACGCTTCCGGCTACGACATGGGGGCAGTTTTGGAACAACACGACGGAGTAGATTGGCATCCGGTTGAGTACTTCAGCCAAAAGGTGCCTCCCATCAACTCGGTTGACGATGCGCGGAAGGAGGAGTTGCTCGCTTTCGTCATGGTACTCAAGCGTTGGAGACACTTCCTCCTCGTGCATCGTAGGTTCACTTGGGCTAGGGATAATAACCCATTGACCAACTACAAGACGCAAGACGCGTGAGCAGCATGATCGCTCGATGGATGTACTTCATCAACCAATTTGACTTCACACCAAAACATATTTCGAGCCTCTCCAACCGAGCCATGGATGCTCTCTTGTGAAGATCAGATCTTTGCGCATTGACTCACCATGCGTTCAGTTTCGACGACACCCTCCATCAGCATTTTGTGCGAGCATAGTTGTCCGATTTGGAATATTCCACGCTCTACACGCAACTATCCTAAAATCACCCGCCGGCCAGCCACTATCGTGCCGACAGCTACTTGCTTCTTCACTCAAGAGGCAAGGACTTACCATGCGTCCCACACAACTGTCGCTTACGGACTCGCCTCCTCGACGAGTACCACGACTCGCAACTCACTGGCCACTTCGGAGTCAACCGTACGATACCAAGACTTCGGCAACGATTCCAGTGGCCCAACCTCATTACCGGCGTCACTCGGTATTGCGACTCTTGTGAAGTTTGTCGACGAAGCAAACCCCGCAATCGCAACCCCTACGGCGAGTTACGCCTGTTGCCTATCCCGTGGGAACCCGGCCTTTCCATCGCTACGGATGTCACCGGCCCGTTCCCCCGCGACCGCTTCAGGCACGACGGCATTCTCACGGTCGTCGACCGTTTGAGCAAGTACGCGAGATGTCTTCCGTGCGAGTACTACGCCACGGCTCCCGAGCTTGCGCGACTCTTGCGCACCGGCTGGATTTGTGGCCATGATGTTCCGGAAGACATCGTCAGCGACCACGACACTCGTTTTATGTCGGCATCCCCCCCCCCCCTTGGTATTAAAAGGACAAGTTATGTCGGCATTTTGGATTTCTCTCATGAAGGAGTTCGGCACCGAAATGAAACCGAGTTCGGCTTGACATCCACAAACTGACGGGCAAACGGAGCGGGCACATCAAACCGCTCAAATGATGCTTCATACGCTCATTCGTCCGGATCAGAAGGATTGGGTTGACTGCCTCCCCGACATCGAGTTCGCCTACAACACTCCATTTGAGTTGCACCACAGTGGCCGGAAAGGCCGTATCTTCGCTGACTTCCATTCCCACGGACTGCCACCATTGACACCGCTTGTTCTCCCGCCTCCGTTCGAAAATATTGTGACTTGCTGGCTAAAGCCCGCACCAACATGCAAAAGGATGAAGTCCACATGCAACAACAAGCCAATCAGCATCACGTGCCATGCCCTATCCACGTCGGTGACCTTGTTTGGGTCTCCACGGAGGAGTTTGCGCTTGAACAAGACGTCTTGCGCAAGCTACTTCCTAAGTGGTTTGGATCATGGACCGTCACATCAGTCGTGGGTGATGAGCCCGATGGCCCCTCCTTTGTGATCGAAATCCCGCCGCATCTAATGGTCGACCTGGTCTTCCACGCCTCCAAGCTGGCTATATACACAGCCAAGCGCGACGACTTCCCGAGCCGACGATAGCAGGACCCTCCTTCTATGGATGGTCATCAGGAAGTTGATCACATCATCATGCATCGCAAGCACGACAACAAGCCAATGCAGTACAAGGTCACATTCAAGCGGTGCGACCGCGACGACACGAGATGAATTTCACGAGCAGCCTTGCAAGCCTCCGCACCACTTATCTACGCCGAATATGAGAAGAAACGACCACGGAAGCTGCAAAGCCTACCCCTCCCACCCGGACTTCTGTCCCTCCCTCCAACAGACAGCTTCGCCCTCACGGGTAAGCTTGATCTTTCAAGGGGGGGGGGCTGTGGCATACTCAGTTCCACACGGGCCCAGCAGGGCCCAACCAGGTAGGCTAGGGCTTAGTAGAGTTAGGTCTGCCGTTTCGGGCCGCACTAGGGCCCGTAGGGTCTGTCGGTTAGGTTAGGCAGACCGGCAACAGTTGCCCTGAACGCCTCGTTTCGGATTCAGGCCCTGGCGCACAATTTGGGCGCCAGACCCTGACCCACAGGCTGTGCCGTTTCAGTAGGCACTTGAGCGCTTGAGGCTCAGCCTCAGTTTAGGCGCCAAACTCTCGAGACCCAGCCTCAGTTTGGGCTCCAGACTCAGCCGCTGAAGCCGACCCAGCGCTATATATAGCTGGGTCCAGCCTCAGTCTGGCATTCAGTAGAGGATTGAGTAGAGGCTCTCTTCGGATGACATCAGTGTAGTAGTAGTCTCCCAGCGCTGGGCGCTGATAGGGTTAGAGTAGCGCAGGGAGAGGAGAGAGACTGTGGCGGAAGCCAGGGGACTTACCTGAGACTCACCTGCGACGCCATCGCTCCAGCTTCGTCTTCAGCACGTCTGTCCCTGCATCAAGGCACCACCTTTCGCAGATCAGTGCCTGGTACAGAGCAAGCGAGAGAGAGAGAGAGAGAGAGACCTTACTCCTCCAGTCCACCACCTTCTTCTCTCCCCCTCCAGCATGTCTTCGCGATGGACTTGATTACAAAAGATGACGAAAATGTTAACTCTCAGCCTTTTATGCGATGGAGAGATAGATTCCTATTTGTAGCAGAAGCAATTTATAAAATCTCAAGCAGAAACTGGAGAAATTAAAGGTCACTATTCAAATGCTACTCCAGGAACATGTGAAGAAATGCTTGAGAGAGAGA